GAAAATATAGGCTATGCAACTCAGAATCAGACAGCCACGTAGTCAGCTACGAAGTATCGGTTTATACTCGCCAAGGAAAATGAACTATTTGGCTAGATACACCAACCTTTATGACCTAAACCAATGTCCTAATACATGCTCTTACACAGATGTTTTGGAATAACAAAAGGCCTCGAATATCAAAGAATTTCTAAAAAACTACAGTAAATCCCGGGCAGTTATTGCTGTTCTATGATACGATTGTTTAGAGTACTGGTTCGTATGTAGAAGAGCTGTCGATCGTATAACTTGAGATCTCTTCGCCTTTAAAAGAAAACTTTCCGCTATCCCAAATGCTCAGATGAGTAATAAGCGGCAGAGTCTGACCTCAACAGTCGATAATTCYGAGTTTTGAAGAATATTTCTTCAATTCAAACTGCGTGCTGTATGAGACATCCATGGGCTTCACTTATCTACGAAGTATCGATTTRTATCTCGTTAGTATAAAAGCTACAGTAAATCCCGAGCAGTTTTGCTATTCTATAATATGCTTGTTTACAGCCGAGTTTGTAATATGATATTTCGTTTAGAGATCGGAGTGCGATCGAGGGCAAAGGTACAGCCGAGTTCGTAATGTGATATGCGTTCGGGACGCAAAGGTCAGCCCGAAGACAAAGGTCTCACAAAGAAAAAACAAAAACAAAACTATACACGCTGCATTTTCTGACTCGTGACCCGGCCTAGGGCCTGGTCACGAGTAAAAAGACTCCAGACTTTTGAAACTTTTTGTATTTGAATGCAAAATCTCATCCATACAAGAAATGTGTATATAAAATTCCTACAAATAAAATGAACTCTTCAACTTTTTTTGTATCAACTTGAAGGAAAAAAAGAAATGATTTGAAAGCTTCTAAGGTCACAAAGTTATTAATCATATACATAACATAGATAATTAATTCTTTTCTTCTTTTTAGGCTAGTGCATCCTTGGAAGGAAATCAATAATAATGAATTATAAAGCCATCTTTCTGAGCTTAACTATTTCTACTTGTGTGGTTGTATTTATCCTTGGCTCCAAATATAATGTTCATCATATGATTTTAAGAAAAACATGTCCTACATGTAGTGGGGAAAATTCTTACCTTTGTCCATCCACTAACTGGACAAACGCTGCTGCAGTTCCATATATTGACGTCAAGAAAGACATTTCCAGGAAATTAGCTGTGATTTACCAGGAACTKAAATCAGCTGCTGGTCACAAGWTRCCACCAACACCAAAACTACTCCTTGAACTCAAAGGAATAATAGGTGAACTTGATCCAGCATACAGACTCAGTCAAGATGATAAAGAACCTGTTGAACCGAAGACCACAAATGGTTCTGTATTGCTAGATGTTTGCCCTGAGAAATACATGGGGGAGAAATTTGGTTATCCATTTTWCGAAAAAGGATGGGTGATGCAAAACTGTGCCAATGTGAAACCGCTTGACAAGGTTTGTTTTGTATGAAAATGGTGGAAACTAGCAAGTGTGAGCTGCGTCGGTGTTTCTGAAGAAACAGTAGAATTAAAAGATAGTTGTTTTAAGGTGTTAAAATTTATCTTTTTACACAACTGTTTCTTTTGTGTGGTTTTGTTTTGAATGTTTTTTAGTTTTCTTTCTCAGTTTTCTTCTTACAGTTTCTTTTAATCAGTGACTGTTGCTTTATTTTATAGTAAACGTAACAGAGTATGTTAAGTATTTTTTTTMTTTTTTATTGTTTTTGACAAGTTTCAAACTACYGTTACTTGYTTTGAGGTTTCAMCAATGATATTGTGGTAGTGARTTTATTTTGTTTTACTTTTTAAGGTKGTCAGTATTGTTGTGAACACWATGCAATATCCTGARCCTATGGAAAAACAAGTTGACAYAGTCTTAAAAGGAATCAATCAAACCTATCCAAGAGTCAAAGTGTTTTTAGCAGCCAAAACTAGTCAAATAAAAGAGACTGCAAAAAAATACCCCAACATCAAAACCATTGCTGTCACTGAGGGAAGTTCATCAGGAAAAGTGTGGAACCAGCTTATCAATGAAGTGTCAACTCCCTACACACTTGTTGCACGAGATGTTGTTCATTTTACTTGGGTTACACGTGTTGAACGACAAATTCGCATGATAAGTACAACAGACCATGTTGCAATAGTTGGAGGATCATTCCGTAATCTTACTGGACATTGGCGAGTTGGATGTCGACAAACTAAACTATTTAACTATGTATTACAGTATGAAGAAGGYTACCACTACTCAAGACACTCATGCATGTTTTGTGATGACTTGGAAGGGCCATTTGTTGCCCGAACTGATCTTCTGAAAAACCTCAAATTCAGYGAAAAGTATAGCAAAGAAATCTTATTTGAAGAATTCTTTCTTCGAGTTTTTCGAACTGGAAACTTRATAATGAACTGCCCTGATGCAATGTATTTCACAACAGACTACTCTACAGAAACTAAACAAAACAGCAAAGCAATATGGCRGCCTCTTGCAACAGACTTRAAGTTAGTCCGTGTTGTGCTAGTGGATTATGGTGTGAGGCACAAGTTCTCRTGTGGGGAGATTTCCTACAAGTGTAATTATGCAGTAACTAAGTATGTTGCTCTGCCAATGTGCTGTTTGGAGCAGTTTGGAAAAGCAATGAAGTTTTTCCAAGATTTATCCATTCAAGATAATTTACACTATGAGCTGGATACTGGATCTATTTTGGCAGCAGCAAAATTTAACAACTACAACCCTTTTGATATTGATGGCGATGCTATATTAGTATCCAAAAATTTCTCTACTTTGTACAGCAAAGCAAGTTTAATCAAACAAAATGGCTTTAGCCTGTCKAGYTACCAGCCAGTCAARTCTAAGTCAGCTGGTTACTTAAGCTTTAACACGCCTGAAATCAATGTAGARGTATGGGGAATTAGCACTACAACTGCCGACAAGTTTTCCCCTCCTGATCTTCAAGGACTCAAATCTTATACCAAGTGCCAAGTAAATTACCACTGGATTAATTGTGCATATTTCCCTGTGTTGTACGCTCGTAATCGTTATGGACCAGATGTTTTGAAACATAGCCAAAGCTGGAGACATGTCAATAAAAAGCATAGTTTTGATAGGTATACACCAGGTTCGTTTGTAAAATGCAACGACCCAAGCTTTCATGCTTGTCTGGACAAGTTTCCTGGTGATGGAAATATTGCTTTTAAAGTATTTTAGACTTTGGTTCATAACCTTTTTCTTTAAAAATATTTGAATTACGGGTTTTTTTGTTTGTTTGTTTGTTTGATAATCAGAATATTTAATATATTTAATAATACTAATTTGAATACTACAATTAAATTTATTCAGAAAGTTAAATAGACATACGTATTTGGATCATGGAAATCTAGCAGACAAAAAATTGACAAAAGCTGCGTTCACAGGTGGCGATCACAAAGAGAAACGTTAAGTTGATTTTCCTTTTTTTCCCCACTCTAAAACGTTCCTTAATCTAGGGACGTGGCTTATCTATGAGAGCAGCTTATACWTGAGTAAATGTGGTAATTGTTATAAGCAGAATACTATATTACATTTTTAATATTTTTGTGAAGTAGACACCTTACACTCTGTATCCTTTTGTGTCTATTTTAATATCACACTTAAATAGTCTAATTTTATTTCACAGGTTTAATGAATTCATTTATTTTAGAGTGCAGGCACCAAAAGCATTGAAAAGGACTTAACAAAGTGCCAAATAGCACAATAGACTAGTGTAGATTAAGAGTGAAGTCATCAACCATTTGTGAAACAATTACTACATGTACTAMACTATTAGGGTGTAGTAGGATACCAAAATGCAAAATCAAAACCGTGTTTGCCTAATTAGTTTGTCCCATGTCATAAGTTAAACTATTGGGAGCTAATRGGAGGGAATAGTATTTAATAGTACAATTCGTATTTCACAGAATCGAAACCTGTAAACCTGTGAAACAAAACTTGAATATTTAAGTGTGATTATAGTCAAATAGACACTCTAAAGAAATAGCACACAAAGGTGTATGTAAATGTTATATCTATTTTGCAGCTTTTTTGACTTTGCTCTAGAAACAAAGGAATTCACATAATTTAATACAATTTAGCACTATTTATAAATAACTAAGTCTTTATGGCTTTCATGTATGCACTTTTTTAACTCAAAATTTATAGATAGTATATTTAGGGACATACTTTACTTTTTGAATTCTAAATAATTTAAACAATGGTTGAAACAATGCTTAAATGTATTTTTACAAACTGCAATGTAGCAAGAACCGRTACAAATGCTCTATTTTTTACGAAAACAAAAACTTCATTTCAGTTACTCTTTGGAAAATGAAGGGTGTTTTATGTGTTGACAAATATCCAAAAGTTGTAAATGGAAATTTGATATATTTATAGTGTGGTTGATGAAATATTATTTTCAAATTTAATAATACTTTGATAATTGCTAGTTTTTTTTGTT